ATAAATGGCTAGTTTAAAATATTGCTATTTGTTAAAATGCAAATTAAACGTACATTTCCACCTTCCTAACCAAAATATATATTGACACAATCTCATGAAAGGAAGTCTACCAAGAACAATTAAAAGCTTTCTTCTATTGTCAATCTACTCTTTAACCCAACGATGAAACTTCTGGGAATTTCTACTATGAACATAATGTAAGTTACACATAAAAATGTAGATACAGAGGTATTCATTACACTGTTGTTATGACAGCAAAGCAGAGGGGACAACTAAACATCCAATCATAGAGAATGGTTAAATTATGTAAAACAGCCATACACAGGAAACTCATCCAATTATAGGAAAAGGTACTCAGAATATATTAGGTAAGGGGAAAATTACATATAATACATTATTTTTCTCCTGACTCCTTATGAAGACACACATAAGGAGACAAAGGGTGTGGGGAAGGAGGAGAGAGGAAAAGAGGGGAAAGGCAGAGAAGAAGGGTGATGGGGCAAGAGAGAGACCTACATCTAAAAGGTCAGTGATGTTCATCAAACATTCCTTCCAAGTGTTTCTCACGCGCCCACTTCCCACCTCCTGCTGCCACACCTTACTCAAGTTCTGAGAGCCTCCACTGGATCAGGAGGAAGGCCCCTACCTCATGGCCTTGCTGCAGTCCCATCTCAAGCCCATCTTCCCCTCACTGAATTACTGAGAAAAACTCAGTGGTTACCTATTGTTTAGTAGCACACCAAACTCCCAATTACCTTTCCAGTTTCGTAGCCCGTACCCAATAATACTTAGCAGAATCCCTGGCACAGAGCTGCATTTGAATAAATATTTTAAGAATGAACAAGAATCTTTTAACCTAGAGATGGTGCTTCCTGACAAACCTGTCTCCAGGCCTGCCCTCCACACAGCCTTCATCTCTCCACTCTCGGGAGGCTCCTCACATTCTCCCCACCAGCCTTCCGTGACCCCCACCCACAGGGTGACCAGTCCTTCTTCTGGATCCTGTGGTATTTGCTGGAACCACACAGATGGACCCTTTGAGTATGCCAACTTAGGATTCTTTTTTACATGCTGGGTGCTTATAATTCTGTTCTGTACAAAATTTGAACTCCTATGAGACAAGAGCATTGTTTATACTTTTTTGGGAAATCCTATTTGTAGCAGAATTTCATGGTGTCTGGCTGAATCTATAAGCTGAGTGTAAACACTCAATATTCATCTGTTTAAATTAACATGAAGCAACAGAAAAAGCCAGAGAGAGAGAGAGAGAGGAAGAAAGAAAGAGGTTGTCAATGTTGAAGTTAGACATGAACTACCTACCTAGACTTCTACTCCATATCCAGATAAAATGTTACACATTACTTCACAAAAGAAAACTCTGCATAAAAAGCTTAAATGCCTTAAGCACATTTACATCAAGTCCTGTCTTCCCTACCAGTCTAGTACCCGGACACACAAGTTATTAACTATTCCCTCCATACATGTGGCACATCTGTGGCTCTTTGCTTTGCACATTATTTTCTTCACCTGGAATAGTTTTCCTTTGCCCCCAAGCCCTCTTTTACCTTGTCTATCTGATAAATACCTATTTGTCTTCATGTACAGGTCAAAAGTCTTACTGTAATGACCCTCAGCAGGAAGATGTAATTGGTCCACATCATCTTCCCGCTAATTAATGCTATATAATTCTTATCAGTCATATGATGGCTTTTTATTTTCTTACACACAGAGTGATATGTTTAAGGACATAATTTATGCATCTTTACATGCCCAATCCCTAACACTGTACCTAACATCTAGTAGCCAACCTCAAAATAAAATAAAACTGATTTTTAATTCTTCCCCAAAACACACAATGGAAACCCTGAACAGTAAAAACCCAGTCCTCTAAGAGCCCTCTTTCTGCATCTAGCTCATTTCCACAGGCTCTCTCTGGTCTCCAGAGCTGCCAACTCCTCTAGTATCCACACATGTGGTGCAAAGGATACAGTGAAACTCCTTTCCATCCTTCCTAAGCTACAGAAGAATCCTCTATTTGTTTTAGCAGAGACACTTGGCTTATTTCACATATAATTTTTATTAAGAAGAAAATCAAGTCAGGAAAAATTCACACCTGAAAAATCAGCAGAGAACACAGGTTTGCAGAATGCTTCTTGCTGGTCCACATTTAACTACAAAGTCCAGCATGGCATCCCCATTTGAGCCAGGTTCTCCTTTCTTCCCTTCCCCTAAATACTGTCTACAGTAGATAGTAAATGAGATCTCAGCATGGTGATCTAAGGTGGATTTGCGTTGGTTCCACACCACCCAGTCCTGGTGAGGTCACCAGAACCTCTGCCAAATCCACAATCCCTTCCACAAACTGCTGATGCTGTTTTCTTCAGATATTCCCCTCCCCTTCATCTCCACAGAGTACAAATCATACATAACTCTCACTCAAAAGTTCCCTAGCTAGTCCCAAAGATTCTACCCTCAGCCTTCAGACCAGAAGGCTACATGAATTCCTGCCCTCTCTGGTTTATCTTGGCCAATCAGACTTTCCTCAGCATCGAACTTCCTGACACTGAGTGGATGTAGTAGCTGGCAAAGACATGTTATTTCAAACTAAGATTTTAAGCTGGCTTTCCCAGCTGCCTTGTGGCCTCAAAGGTGAGCACTGCCTTTAACTGTAGTCTTTCCAAGGGATCATGCCAAGAGACCAGTGAGCATTAAAGCTGCAAAAATTTGGACACCCTCTAAGTTGTTCTCATTTTCTGCCAGAAAGATGCTTATATCTCTTACTAACTGAAATAATGTGTCCTGACTTCAAGGAATGATAATAACTTTAATAGCTCAAGTTAGTGAACGTCTACCCACTTCTCTAGGATCCTTGGCAGCCTACTCGGCTGATCTTCAGCAAGTGCCTTTCAGAATTACATGAGTTTGAAAAAGTCAACAGACCTTAATACATATACGTACTAAAACTTTATGGGTCCTTCAGCTACCTCATCCCAATGGAGATGGGCCCAACATGCACAGGAATAGACATTAGTTTAAGGAAGAAACAATTGCTTTTCTTTTTTCTGAACTTTCATCATCCAGAATTCTTTTCTGACTTAGAATCTCCATACTGTATTGTCTCTTCTGGGCTAAAAGCAAATTTATAAAGAACCCTGCTTTTATATATAATCCAAACCTCCCTGCAAATCCCTTTTCTTCCTCGCTCTGAAAACTGTCCCTATGTTGCATCATATTCTTTTAGAATCATCCTTCCTATTATTAAATATCACACATTTTCTTCATCAACATCTAATGCATATCAGGTACTATGCATGTTCACATTAGTAATTTCATTGAATTTTTACAAGTTTTTGTAACTTTTGTATTATGAAAATGTTCAAACATATCCAAGTTGAGAATAGTATATAAACCAAATATTCTACTTCCAATTTGAAAAATTATCATCAAACTATTCACTCATTTTCCCCAATGCACTAAAACTGAATTAATTAAAAGCACATCTTAGACATGACTATCTCATCCATAAACGCTTCTGTATCTCTAAAAGATAAACTGTATATTCTCATAATCAGAATACCATTATTGTGACAATTAATCATGATTGTCAACTTGACTGGACTGAAAGAGACCAGGTAAGTCACACTTCCTGGTGTATACAGGTGGGTCATTGGGCTTGATGCCACGGATTGTGTCTGGTTGCTTTCTTTCCAGCCCACTGCCTTTCCACAGCCTTGAGGTGAGCAGCTTTGCTCCACAATGCCTTCCACCCATAACGTTTCTGCTTTGAATCCAGATGACCATGGTCTGAAACCTCTAAAACCCTGAGCCAAATAAGTTGTGCATATTGGGTACTTTGTCCCAACAATGGGAAAGCTGACCAATACAATTATCCAAATTAAAATCAATTAAGTTATAATTCCATGATATCATAACCGTATCAGTTTTCAAATTCCTTGATATCTCTTTTCTTTTTCCTTTTTTTAGAAGTGTGCTCAATATCAAATCCAGTTTTGCATATGCTAGGCAAGAACTTTTTCACTGACCTGAGCTATACCCTCAGACTTCAATCCTTTAAAATCTTAACACATTTTGTTGACTAAAGTGAGGCTCACAGAATTAATAACTTCTACAAGGCATGGTGGCACATATCTTGGGAGACTGAAGCAGGAGGATCAAAAGTTCAAAGCCAATCTGGGCAATTTAGCCAGAGGCTGTCTCGAAATAAAATAAAAAGGGCTGGAGATATACTCAATTGATTCCTCTCTCCATTTTCTTTTCCTCTTCTCCAGTTTTCTTTTCATAATGTTTTTAAAAGGCGCTTTTTTTTTGTATTACTTTTACGAAAGTGGCCATTTCTTGAATACTTCAATTTCAGCTAAATGACATAAAAGTCATTTCTTCAGTGTTTAAAACTGGAGGGAAACTTTTTCTGTTTTAATCATTCATTCCCCAACAATATAAAATAGGTAGATGTCTGAGAAGTCAAGAAAATCAGTTTGTATGGTATCTGTTGTGCTCTGGTGTCTGTGGTTATTTATACTGAGGTCTCCCATAGGGCACCACAGGTATAATAAAATGACAATGGTTATGATGATGACTTCAACTACCATGGGCAGCTTCTAACAAGGAACAACATGGATAATCCCTCCTGGAGAACGGAGGGTTACAAGATTTTATAAACATCTCTAAACTTAGGAAAAGTCCTTCAGAGATCAATCCTGAAGAGGTAAATGAGTTGCAAGACTAAATCCCCCAGTGACTCCTTTTCAGTTAAAAAGAAATTTAAATATAAACCATGTTGCCATCTCAAATAAATGCCTATATATGTCCTATACATTTAAAAAAACAGAATTGTAAAGGACCTCTTTCATAAGTCCTACGTAAAGACACTGGGGATTTTAAAAAATGTAACAATGAAGCAAAAAGCTGTTTGAAAATAACCTTTCAAAGTTATAGAACACAAACCAAATAAGAAACAAAATAAATCCCTTTATACTGACCTTCAAAAATATTGTTCTAAGCTCAGCTGGATCCGCTCTCTTCGTTAAAGCCACCTATAAATAAACATAAAAATGTTTGTGTTATTAAACAAAGCTGAGAAATCAAGGTAGCAGACTGAAGGAAAATAAACTTCAGGTTAGAAATTAGTGGATTTCATTTTTGTACTTAAAAGTTCCAAAATACCCCAGTGCATAAATTAGTCCCCAGATTTTAAATTACACTCCATATGTGGCTTCTAGAATGATAATATTCTGCACAAGAAACCAGCAGTTAAAGCTCTTAATATCTAGAGTTTAATGCATTATCGTTTTTTAGAAAGAAGAAAAAACAAAAATTGGAACAGATCTGTAAATATCTGGCATTTAAACTACACTCTAGGTTAAGTCCTGTCTTTCCACAGGGGAATATCAAATATTAAAGTACAACCTGTTTGCTAATTATGCAAGGGAACATATTTCTTAAAGAAGTCAGTGAACTAGGCAAATCACATTAAATAACCTAAGGGAATTACTTCTCACAGTTCCACAAAGACTGGCATGTATATCTGGCTACCCGGGAATGCCAAGAAACTCCTCCTCTTCCCAAGTTTTAATTTAATAAATCAAAACTCTCCAAAGGTATGATTGTTATTCTCCACATTCTAGACACACAAGGGGCTGTGGTTACCTTTCATGAGTAATATTTGACAGGTTAGCTCAGAATATGTGTTGTGCTTAATTCTCCAGGCCCCAAAGTCCAAGAACATCACTGGAGAAAAAGCAAGACAAACCTTGAACATGACTGCCCCAGACCAACACAAAAGAGCCCTTATTGGAACCAAACAGTGGGCTTATTCAGCATCCCACCACCCAATCCTGCTGGCAAAAACCATCATGAGACCGAATTCTTACCAAGCACAGCGTTACCCCATGACACAGCCGAGGAGGGGTTCCTGGAACCACTCCAGCACTGGAGCCATGTTTCTATCCAGAGAGAGATTTATGCAAATTGTTCTAAAACTCTTCTGTGTGTTTGCAAAGATTCTGCTGAGATCTTTTGACAGTGGGTTTTCTGTCTCTAAATATGGAACTGCCTGAGCTCCTTGGCCACCACTGTCAGGAATAATTTTATTAACTAATCACTGGAATGGGAGAGGCAATATTGCTGAAACCAATTGGATGGTCACTTTGGTTCCCAAAGCATAACTGACAACTTTTCTTTTCAGCTGAGTACCTGCAAGCACCCATGCTATAAGAATTTGCACTTTTTCTTAAAATTCTGAATTAATCAGTATCTCTTGCTATTTAATAAGGGAGGGAAAAACAGACTGCTAAACAACTTGGCCAAGACTAATAATACTGATGACCTGAAAGTTTTTGAAGAGTTTTCCCTCTGATGAAGTCCCTACTCTGACAAAGGTGGGGTGGGATGAACAATACTGATAAAGATGTCATTAAAGCACCTCAAATCTCCATGTCCAGGGTACAGAAACTCCCTCCTTCATGGGAAGGATCCCTCACCTTGTGACAGTTCATAAGTAACATTTTTTTAAAGCACATGGTATCCAAAGTTCTTAGTTTTTTCTCCCTTTTAAAGGCAAAGGAATTTTTCCACAAATGAACTACTCTTGTTCTATCTGAATATCACATCCTTATAAACCTCCTTCATTCACTACGCCATGTACTTTGTAAAGGCTTTCCTGGGCAATGCTATCTCAGAGTGCATTTCTCCTGTCCTAAATTTCCACCCTGTGCTTACTGATCCCAAAATGTTCATTCAGTGCTCCACACCAGAAGTACACCTCCGTGAGAGAAAAATCAAAGTGTTCACTTTGTAAACTTACCCAGGGTTTAGGGCACAGAACACAAATGAAAACAATCCCTATTGTGAGTGATCAACATTCACAAATAACATCACCTAGAATGCAGACTACTTTACAGTTTTCAAAGCATGACTATTATTTCTTTGGGTCCTCACAACAAATTGAGTGAAGCAGAATAGATGTTACTGCTCTCATTTTACAGAAGGGGAAGCCAAAGCTCAGAAGAGGTCATTTATTTCCCTTTATCTTCCAAGTCTTCAGGTCCCAAATCTCTTACCTCCTATTGCACCACATTATAGGCAGCTAACTTAACCTAGGAACATCACAAAGAACATGCACAGAAATCAAGACTCTCTCAATTTCTCCTACTACTACCAGTTGGTAGTGTGCACTGACTGCCATAATTAAGGACATGGCTTTCATCAGACCATTCTTGCATAGGGTGCAGGCCTGACCTCCTGTAACTCTGACAGTGTGACCTTGGTGCTCTGACTTCTCCAGTCTCATTTTCCTCCTCTATAAAACAGAAGATTCTGGATAGCTGAAAGGAAGATATGAGGTAATTCATAAAGCGCTAGTACTAAGAAAGTTACACAATTAAAGCACTCAATAAATAGTATCTACCATTACTTATATTATTTATCCAAAGGTTCTATATTCTATTCTATTGTTCTCACTGGGTAAAAATTTCTAAATGATAAGTAACCTGATTCATAACTTGGAAGGGAAAAATTGGGAGGAAAGAAGGGAAGAGAATTCATGGTACTCAAAAAACACTTGCCAAAGAAACACTGAAGACATTCTAACATCATCCCTTCTGCTCTCCTAGCCCCACTGAAGGCATCACAGAGGAAAAGCAACATAGCATGCATAAAGTAGCAAAGCAACAAGAGAACCTTACTGGGCTGGGGATTTAGCTCAGTGGTTCCACCTTCTGCCTCACAAGGGCAAGGGCTGGAGTTCAATTCCCAGTACCAAAAACCCTAACCCTAACCCTAACCCTAACCCTAACCCTAACCCTAACCACATTTTTTTATCCATTCATTTGTTAACTGGCATATAGGCTGCTTCCAAGATTTAACTATTATAAATTGTGCTGCTATAAACATGGGTGTGTATGTATCACTGTAATACAATGACTAACTCATTCAGGAAGATACCTAGAAGAAGAATAAATGGGTCGAATGGAACTTTTATTTTTAGTTTTTTGAGTAATCTCCATTCTGATTTCAATAGCCATTGTACTAGTTTATATTCCTACCAACAATGTGGAAGGGTTCCTTCATGCCGCAGCCTCCCAGCACTTGTTATTATTTGATTTCTTGATGATAAATATACAATTAGGCAACCAAAATGAATAGATACTTCTCAGAGGAAAAAGTGCCGATATCCGATAATACCTGAAAAAATGTTCAACACTGCTGTTCATTAGAGAAATGTAAACTGGCTTTCTTATCCTGGAGTAAAGCCATAGTTACAAGATCACTATTGTAGCAAATCATGGTGGTACAGAATCATCCACTCAAAATGGTTGTCAGGTCTAACAGAGGGCAGTGGGGAGCAACATAAGAAAGCCTATATAACATAAGGGTTACTCATTTGCAGAATCAAATGCAAAGAAAAGTGAGGCACTCCTCTCACACTAGCAAGCTCTACAGATGTGAGACCCTCATCTTCCAGAGGGTTTCTTATTCATCAGATGATCCCAGATCAGACAAGCAACAAGATAGTATGTAGGCATTCCTTAAATCTTGAATCTTCCATGGTAGAGGCACAAGATGCTGGGTTCAATCCCCAGCACCACAAACAAATAAACAAACAAAAAGTCTTTCAGATAAGTAAAAACATCAGATATATACAATGAAAATCAGTAACTCCCTTCAGATCTGTGGTTCTCGAAGTGTGGTGCCTGAACTGCCAGTACCAGTATCACGTGGGAACTCTAGGGTGATAGTGGTGGAGCCTAGCAGTCTATATTTAACAAGCCCTGTAGGTGGTCCTGACACAAAGTTTAAGAACCACAGCTTTAGATGATGTGGTGTTGATTAGGACTTCAGCTCTTAGCCTCAGCTGCATATTCAATTCACCTAAGGGGCTTTTAGGTTTTCTCAAACCCCAAGATGTGTAAAAGATCAATGGAATTCCAATCAGAATCTCTCAAATAGGTGTTCTCAAAGCTCCCTACAAGATTACAATGTGTAGAGGAGCAGAGAAGCAGTAGTTTAGAATCCAAGGTCATAGTCTCCACTGCTACATAGTGAACTAGACAGTACTGCTCTCCCTAAAGAATATTTCTCCAATCCCCTTCCCAAACTTGAAATGTCCGTAAGTCAAGAAAATCACAGCCTTATATGATTATTTTACATATGAAATGAGAACCAGCAGCCTACAGTATGTATTCGTGTAAGCAAACATGCACTGACAAGGAAAACAAAGGGTGGAATAGAGAAAAGAATTATGCCTACATAGTCTTTTGTGCCTGAGGAACCAAATGTAGGTGAACCTGAATCCCAAACAGAGGTAACCCTTTTGTGTAAACTAACAGTTTAGCAGCTGAGGCCACTGTCCTTCTCTAGTCTCCTGCACCATAGAGACTAAACAGTTAAAACTGTACTTTCCAGACTCCCTTGCAGCTATGAAGTCCAGGTGCCATCAGTCAAATGAAATGCGGTAAGATTTATAAGACAAAAATGTGAAAGCTCTGGGCTACACTTTTGCCAGAAGGCATCATCAATGTGAGTGTCTGGTTTTCCTGCAGCTCCTTTCTGTCCTCCTGTAAGAGTGGCAGGACTGTCTTAAGGCATGCCTTGCTTAGCAGGAAGTACCTTGGCTGCACAGGAGGCCACTACTCCCTTGGTGGCCTGCTCTACTGTGAGACTCTGGAAGTCATTCCTGAGAGCTCAACCTCAAGTGTGTTTCCTCACCTTCACAACAAATTCTGTAAGTCATTTAATACCCTGAAATAAATCTCTCTTGGTTTAAACCAGCCAGAGTGGATTCTGTACTCTGCAAGTGAACCTTGACTGATACAATCAGTAATTGCAAAAGAAAACCTTAAATTCTCTAAAACCACAGTTACCATTAACTTAAGAAAAGGAAGAAAGAGTCGTCTCATCAAGTTTAAGAAAATAATGTTTTTATTGAAACAACTAAGTCACTCATCCCTTAGGCTAGTTTCCTTAAGTTCTAATAAATGAAAGATAAAAATTATGCATTCTTTAAACCACAATATTTCTGTGTAATCAACCTTCA